TTTAAAAACAGTCTACAATACAGCGCAATATAAAACAAACAATTCTATAAACCAGTACATGAGATTTTTTTTTAAAGCAGGAAGGTTTAACATTTTTTTAATTATAAAATATGTTCTTATAGAAATTCACAAAGCATATTTATACAGCTTAACTTACACATATTAAGAACTATTCACATCTATGAATAACCATAGAGTGAACAAAGTAGAACCACGTCCCAGGTCAAGAAACACTATATTGCCAGTCACCCGGTACCTGACTCAGGCTCCTCCTTCGGGAGCACTGCCTCACCTGCCTCTCCTACTAACCCTGTCCGAACTACAAGCATATTAATTTCAGTAAACAATACGAAATTAAAACTGTACCTGTTTTTTTAAAACTTTATAGGACCTTTAAAAATAACCCTTTAAGAGAGAATGTTTTCATGTACCCTTTTGTGTGTATTTTTCCCTCGTTTGTGTCACACACGTAGCTGGACTTTGTTTTGTCTGTGGGCTGCATTCAATTGTACAGACGTTTCTATTGCCACTGGGCCTTTGTGTTGTTTCCTCTTCTGACCTCTTACTCCGCTGCTGTGAACATCCGCCCACACATCTATTGGAGGACCCTGCACCAGTGCCTAAAAATGAATCTCTTGGTCATAGGTTATGTGAATTCAAATTGTACCTTGCTACTGTTTCTCAACAGTTTTCACCAATTACACACTCACTAGCTTCACAGGAGGGTACTCACTGCTCTTCACTTGTTTATTTGGTGCTTCATGTGCCTGAGGGTAACTGAAATTCTGTAAGGGAGGGCTGGGGCCAGGGGAAAGGTGGTTTGCTTCTTTGAAATGTTCCCTTCTGAATCGAAACTATCATTTTTAATTTCCTGAATTTAGAGGAAAACCAAGATGGCGGCATAGGTAAACACCGGAGATGGCTGCCTCACACAACCACTTCAAAAATACAACTAAAAGACGGAATGGACATCATCCAGAACCACAGGAAGGCTGGCTAGTGGAAATCCTACTAGAAGGAAAGAGAAAAGCATACCGAGCCTCAGAGGAGGTGCGGTGTGGAAGTAAAATACAGAGGTACAGAGGCGCATGCGGAGAGGGCTGGCGGCTGAGGACACAGTTGTCTTTTTCAATCAGGAGGGAGTCTTAAGCTCTGAGCTCCAGTTCTGGGCAAGTCTCTGGGGACCCTGATTCATACGGGAGAAACTGGACTGTCTGGCATTGGTCGGAACTTGAGGACAGCTTTCTCTCGGAGGTGCTTGCAGCGATTGCTGGGACACTGAGAAGTGGGGCCTTTGAGGGCAGGACTGAGAGCAGCCATAATGGCTCGCTCCGCCCTGTTGATCCCCTGGGACCCCGCAGTGCACAGAGGCTTTTGCATATGAAAGGCCTGGCCCTTTGCAATCTGAAAATTAACTAACAAACTGCAGCTGGCCTAAGGCCCCACGGCAACTTGTATTGCTTCACAGCTGGCTCCTGTTGGATAGCCTCAGGCAGAGGCTAGATTTGCACCTCCTTAGAGATCCAGGAGCCAGTGTGCCCAGTGGTCAGAGTGGGACATCCAGATTGCAGCTCCTCGGATTCATAAAGGACACACTCAGGGGGCAGACTCAGTGAGCACCAAAGCCCCACTGAAGCAAGTCTTGCCCCATAAGGGTGTCTCCAGCACAGAAGTTCTCCCACTGCAGACACAGCTGATTCTCACAGCCAATTGGCCTGGAGGTCAATCCCTCCCAGTGTTACCTACAACAATCAAGGCTTAAAAACAACTAGTACAAGGCTTTGACTTTGTGCACAAAGCCCACAAGGGGGTGCACCAAGAGTGTCCACCTCAGGTAATTGGGGAGGCTGAGCCACTGGGCCCTATAGTACACCTAGCACAGAAAGCCACTCTATCGACACAGCAAAGCATAAAAAATGCAGAGACAAAGAAACAGGACACAAATGACAGAAATGGAGGAAAGCGAACTACTGGATGTAGAGTTCAAAACCACACTTTTAAGGTTTTTCAAGAATTTTCTAGAAACCGCTGATAAACTTAATGAGACCCTCAAGAAATCTAGTGAGACCCTCGAGGTTGTGATAAAGGACCAACTAGAAATTAAGCATACACTGACTGAAATAAAGAATATTATACAGAGTTCCAACAGCAGACTAAAGGATCGCAAGAATCAAGTCAAAGTTTTGAAATATGAAGAAGCAAAAAACACCCAACCAGAAAAGCAAAATGAAAAATGAATCCAAAAATACGAAGATAGTGTAAGGAGCCTCTGGGACAGCTTCAAGTGTACCAACATCCTAATTATAGGGGTGCCAGAAGAAGAGAGAGAGAACAAGATATTGAAAACCTATTTGGGTTTTTTTTGGTTTTTTAAATATTTTATTGATTTTTTTATAGAGAAGAAGGGAGAGGGATAGAGAGTTAGAAACATTGCTGAGAGAGATCAATCAGCTGCCTCCTGCACGCCCCCTACTGGGGATGTGCCAGCAACCAAGGTACATGCCCTTGACCAGAATCGAACCTGGGACCTTTCAGTTCGCAGGCTGATGCTCTATCCACTGAGCCAAACCGGTTCGGCTGAAAACCTATTTGAAGAAATAAATGACAGAAAACTTCCCCTACCTGGTGAAAGAAATTGACTTACAAGTCCAGGAAGCACAGAGAACCCCAAACAAAAGGAATCCAAAGAGGACCACACCAAGACACATCATAATTAAAATGCCAAGAGCAAAAGACAAAGAGAGAATCTTAAAAGCAGCAAGAGAAAGAAACTCAGTTACCTACAAGGGAGTACCCATATGACTGTCAGCTGATTTCTCAACAGAAACTTTGCAGGCCAGAAGGAAGTGGCAAGAAATATTCAAAGTGATGAGTACCAAGAACCTACAACCAAGATTACTTTATCCAGCACAGCTATCATTCAGAATTGAAGGTCAGATAATGAGCTTCATAGATAAGGAAACGCTAAAGGAGTTCATCACCACCAAACCAGGATTATATGAAATGCTGAAAGGTATCCTTTAAGAAGAAGAAGAAAAAGGTACAGATACAAATTATGAACAACAAATACACATCTATCAACAAGTGAATCTAAAAATCAACTGAATAAATAATCTGATGAAGAGAATAAACTGGTGATTATAATAGAATCAGGGGCATAGAAAGGGAGTGGACTGACTATTCTTGGCGGGGGTTAAGGGGTATGAGGGATGCAGGAAGAGACTGGACAAAAATCATGCACCTATGGATGAGGACAGTGGGGGGGGAGGGGTGTAAGGGCGAAGGGGGGGGTGGGAACCGGGTGGAGGGGAGCTATGGGGGGAAAAAGAGGAACAACTGTAATAATCTGAACAATAAAGATTTAATTAAAAAAAATTTTCCAAAATTTATTCTGAGTTTGTCCACTCTGTGCATCTTCAATAGTAAAGACTAAGTCAATAACCCACGTTTCCACAGCTCATAACCATCAACTCTCCCTTGTATCACTTAGATACTCTAAGTACTTCTCCCCCATTGTCCACAGAGCTATGCTAGTTGAATATGTATGTCACATGATAAGAAGTGCTGTTTTAAATTGGCAATGCCTTATTTCAAGTTGAAAAATATTCAAATACAGCCCTAGCTGGTTTAGCTCAATGGACAGAGCATCGGCCTGCGGACTAAAGGGTACTGGGTTCGATTCTGATCAAGGGTACATACCCAGGTTGTGGGCTCAATTCCCAGTAGGGGGTATGCAGCCAACATATGACTAAAGACAAATTTAACTAGAAAACTTCAAAATAGATATGGAAAGAAAAATACTGAGCAGAGCAGGGTTGAAAGTAAACAAAATGCTTTTCTGTGTGTTTTAGTGGTTATTTTTCATGGTCAAAGTAAAAAAAAAAGTCATGATTAAGGGACTTACACTAAGACCTGTATCAATGTGTTTTTAGCTATACATGGCAGTCTAAAGCTGATTCTCTCTTATCATTGATGTTTCTATCTCTCTCTCCCACCCCTTTCCTCTCTGAAATCAATAAAAATACTTAAATTAGTGATAAAAAAAAAAAGAAAAATATTCAAATACCTAATATGAGTCAAAAGGTTCTACGGTTCTCCTTCTTCTATTCTATGACTCATACAAACAAGCTTCCTTTCTATTCCACAGTAGAGCTATTACATTTGCTGTCTTTTCTAAGGGGAAACCAGCTCCTTTTGTCAGTTGGGTATCAGAAAGGTCTCCTGCTCTAAGCTTTCCCTGATCACCAGAACCCAGGCCAGCCCCTGCCAATTCTGCCCTACTGTCCCATCCGCACATATTACCAATTGAAATAATCTTGTTAATTTATTTAATGGATGTTCATTGAAATGAATCAGGGAATTAATCACATGAAATATACATATAGCCCGACTGGAATGGCTCTGTGGTTAAGCATCTACCTATGAACCATGAGGTCACAGTTTAATTCCCAGTCAGGGTATATGCCTGGGTTGTGGGCTCGATCCCCTGTAGGGAGTGTGCAGGAGACAGCTGATCAATGATTCTCTCTCATCATAGATGTTTCTATCTCTCTCTCCCTCTCCCTTCCTCTCTGAAATCAATAAAATATATTAAAATATTAAAATATATACATACATAACTTTGAAACAGCACGAAGACTTGAAGAGAAAAAATTTGGAAGATGGTACTTTTGTCCTCTGCTTGCTCATGTCTCCCAGCAACTCGGGTACTACCGCTCAGCCCAGTGCCAAATGATTTCCACCGAGTCATCCTTAAGATAATGTCTGTATATCCAATTCCCCAGCCAGGCAGTCAAGCAGAACCCAACAACCATCCCAAACTTCATTCACCAACTCCACACAATTTTACTAGGCCACAAAAATATGTTTTGCTTAAATTTTTTTGATATAATCACTAACACAAGTGCAGAAAACAGTAACCTCAAACCCTCAATTGGTTGAATGAACAATATTAGAAAAAATGTCAGATATCAGTTACCTTTAATATATTTGTGAACAAACATTGGTGATAGCATTTTAAACATATCAATGACTCAGAAAGATCATAACTGACTTTTGAGTCTCTGCTGACCTAATTGGTCAGAGGGGCTTGGTTTAGGAGGAAAGGGGATGGGGGGCAAGGGGAGGAAGAAAAGAAAAGGGAGGGAGACTGGAGGGGAACCAAAGCCCAGGATTCTTCTGAAGATGGGCAACATCCACAGCTGTTCCGGAGGATGGGAGTCTGGGGTAGATCCGGCTTTGGCAAACTCAGCAGAACCTTCAGGGTGCACATAGACACGGGGTGTCCAGTGGGTGAAGCTCATTGGCCACACAGGAGTTAGCAGTGTCCAAGAACATTCCAGGGTCTGGGAGGAAGAATAAACTATGGCGAACTTGTTCAATCCCAGGGACTCAGCCTGTCCAGAGGCAACAGGGGAACTCTCATGCAAGACCAGTGACTTACAAACTTGCTCACAGCTCTGAGATGTAAATGTGGCCAGGCTCAATGAATCTCCACACAAAAGAACATGGAGAACAAACGTAGGTGTCCCCTGGGCTTAGGGGACGGAGCACAGCAGCACCCAAAAGCCACCTTAGGATGCTGGGACCAGCAGTGCTGGGCTGTCCATGGAGGGTTTGTCCTCAGGCACAGGCTGGGCTTTGGGATCTGGAGCTGTGCGCACTGCGCCCACTAGGCGGCGCCTCTTAGCCGGGACCTGAACAATCGACTCTTGAGTCCCCTGTTCCGGAGGACGACGACCACCACCGCGACCACCACCGCGACCACGACCGCGACCGCGACCACGACCACGACCGCGACCGCGACCGCGACCACGTGTGCCAGTTGGCTGGAGATCCTGGGCAGATGTTGGCTGTGAGGATGGGTCGGGCTTTGAGGAGCAGAGGGCCGTGGCAGCCGCGGGCTGGGCAGCAGAGGCAGAACCCCGGCCTAGCGAGGGGCGCAGGCATGGCTGGCACACAAGGGCCCGGCTTCCACGGTGGCCGCGGGACCCACGACCCGTGCCCACTGATCCAGGGGTGTGTGTGGCCCGATGGGGCTGGAGGTGCCTCAGGCCCAGCGCAGATCTCCAGGCCGCCCGGCCCTCCCTCCAGACACTCAACTCCTGGCTTCCCGGCGCCGTGGACTCCACGTGGTCCACAACGGTCTGGTCCTGCCCGCGTTTCCACAGCTCATAGCGCTCGGGCTGCAGGATGCGCACGAACACATCCATGGAAAAGCTCACCCGGGCCTCCCCGCAGCTGCACTGAGAGGCCACTTTGCCATAGTCGATCCATCGCGGGGTGGCAAAGTTGATGGCCTCCGCACAGTTGAAGCCATGGTTGAAGCCAGCGTGGTAGCCATAGGGAAAGGTCACCATGAACTCTCCAGCCTCCTGAGTGATGCGACTGAACGGGACCCCGTTCTCCTTGAGGACAGTGGGCGAGATGAGGGCCACCTTGTGCCGCAGGAAGGCCTCGCAGCCCCGAGAGCTGCCCGGGAAAAGCTCCCTGGCCAGGCGCTCCAGGCGCTGGCCGTGCTCTGGGGGCACCGCGTACCACGTTTTGGGCTCCCCGAAGTGCAGGTAGTTGATGCTGTAAAGGTCCATGTCCTCCGTGTGCCAAGCGAAGGTGGTCTTCCACATGCCAAAGTACAGGTAGGGGGTGTTGACGCCTTCGATGACAACCCCACACTCCTGCTCCAGCAGGTCCTGGATGGTTCCCAGGTGGCCAAGGTTCCATTGTTTAGTGTTGGCATCAAATAAGGAGCCACTGATGTCAGCGCCATATATGGGCGAGTCGTACAGGCGCGTTTTCCAGTATTTCCGCTCCAGATCCTCAAAGTCCAAGTGTGGTGGAGTCTGATACTGTCCACTGTTTGCCAACAGGCGATACTCGCCCACTGTCATGGCCCTCTTCTTTTTGTGGTATTGAATGAACACACCTGCTCGCCCAGACGCCACCTGCTGGAGGGGAGTGGCTATCACCATGTCATTGACATCATCGTAGGTCTGTCTGGCTTTCCATTCCTTGGGTGGAATGATCTTAGCCAGGCCAGCTCGGTGAGCACCTTGGGATTCTATGGAAGCAATATATTTATCGAAATCATTAAACTCTTCTTTGGTTGGATAAAATATCATTATGTTACAATTTGGATTCTGGGCACAATTAGCCTTAGACTTTATAGCTTCCATCAATAAGCAAACTCCAAAGATTTTAAGTATGTTAGATAGCTGAGGACGCTGAAAAAACGCTTTTTCAAAAATGGATTTGAATATCTCTGAGGTAGGAGGAGCTTATGTGATAAGTCATCAAGCTATTATGACTTTTATGCAAACTAGATGGTAATGTTTATTAGGCCTGCTGATTCACCAGGAGACTCCACTCCTGTGATACTCCTCAGTTGGCTGTCCTCTGGAGAGCTACTGATTATGAAGTCCTGGCTGTGGTATAACAAGTGTAGTGTCTTCTGATCAGTCTATAAAGCAAAACCTGAAAGAAAAAATACAAAAAGGTTAAAAAATTAATATTTAGAAAAAGTTATTGGAGAACTACAAATAAAATACCACCATGGGATATTATTGAAAACTCCACGAAAGGCTACCATTTTATAACTTTACAATATAAGAGACGGTGTGGATGTGGAACAATTGGAATTTTTATACCTCAGTAGAGAGAAGGGAAATCATTACATTCACTTTGGAAAACGATTTGGATACTATCTATTAAAATTGAGCATATGCATTGTTTAAAAGAGAACATATACAAGTGCTATGATCCAACTGTTATCACATGCAAGGAAATGTGTCCAGCTGTTCACTGAAAGTCACATTCCAGAATGTTCATAACTACACTATTTCTAGTAGCCAAATACTAGGAACAACTCAAATGTCCATCACAGCAGAATGGGTAAATATATTGTGGTATAGTCATACAATGGAATACAGTGTATCAATTAAGATAAACAAAAACTACATTTAAATAAAGGAATAATTTTATAAGCATAACAATGAGCAAAATTATGCATACTTAAAATAAGGTAATCTATGTTAGAAGTCAGAGTGATTACCTTTGGAAAAGAAAGAGGCTGTGAGACCCCTTACCTTTGCGGTTAAAAGGGGTCTCTGGAGTGATGTTAATATTCTGTTCTGGACCTCAGTGCTAGTTACACAGCCATCAAAATAGCTAATGTGATAATTCATCAAGCTATTATGACTTTCATAAATTGACATATGTTTATTTAAAAACAGAGTTTAGGCCTGGCTGGTGTTGCTCAGTGGTTGAACATTGATGTATGAACCAGGAGGGTCAAGGTTCAATTCTGGTCAGGGCACATGCCTGGATTTCGGACTTGATCCCCAGTAGGGGGAGTGAAGGAGGCAGCTGACCAATGATTCTCTCTCATCACTGATCTTTCCCTTTCCCTTCCTCTCTGAAATCAATAAAAGTATATATTTTTTAAAATAGAGTTTAGGGTGAAAAGCATTCAAGAACAGTAAGAGACATATTTCATTATATTAAAAGTAAAAGGATGTATGATTGAAAATAAATGAACTGAACATTCAATTGAAGGGAAGAAGAGTATAGAAATAACAAAAATAAAGATGTTGCTGAAACCGGTTTGGCTCAGTGGATAGAGCGTCGGCCTGTGGACTCAAGGGTCCCAGGTTCGATTCTGGTCAAGGGCATGTACCTGGGTTGTGGGCACATTCCCAGTAGGAGATGTGCAGGAGGCAGCTGATCGATGTTTCTAACTCTCTATCTCTCTCCCTTCCTCTCTGTAAAAAATCAATAAAATATATTTAAAAAAAAATAAAAAATAAAGATGTTATTAATGAAAGATAATACATGCAAAACAGAGATGATGACCAAAATGTTCTTTGAAGAGACAATAAAAGCAACAAATCTGAGCAAAACTGATCAAGAGAAAGGAGAGAAGGTAAAAATAAACAATATTAGGAATTGAATAGTACACTAAGCTAGTAATATAATAAGGAATTTCTAAAATCTCAAAGGACAGCCCTAGTTGTCTTGGCTCAGTGCATAGAGAGCATTGGCCTGCAGACTGAGGGGTCCTGGGTTCGATTCCGGTCAAGGACACATGCCCAGGTTGCAGGCTCAATCCCTAGTGGGGGCGTGCAGGAGGCAGCCAATGGATGATTGTCTCTCATCATTGATGTTTCTATCTCTCTCCCCCTTTCCCTGCCTCTCTGAAATCAATGAAAATATATTTTAAAAATAAAATAAAATCTCAAATGACAATGTTTGCAATTTGACATTAAAATTTTGAAAAGAGGCCGAAACCGGTTTGGCTCGGTGGATGGAGCGTCGGCCTGCGGACTGGGGGGTCCCGGGTTCGGTTCCGGTCAAGGGCATGTACCTGGGTTGCGGGCACATCCCCAGTGGGAGATGTGCGGGGGGCGGCTGTTCGATGTTTCTCTCTCATCGATCTTTCTAACTCTCTATCTCTCTCCCTTCCTCTCTGTAAAAAATCAATAAAATATATTTAAAAAAAAAATTTTTGAAAAGAGAACAGGACAATTTTCTAGAGAGGAAATATATCCAAAATGAACCCAAGAAAAAACAGAAACCTTGAATACCTCAGTATAAAAATCTGGTTTAAAATATGACACCTAAAAACTCATTTTTCACATCATTTTATAGGTGAGTCTAACAAATTTTAAAGAAACTGTTAAGTCTTATTATGCAAGTTCTTTCAACGTACAGAAAATTGGAAGAGCTACTAAGAGGTTTGATAGCAAAATCAGAAAAGGACAACAGAAAATAACGCTACAGGCCATTTTTATAAGTGTAAACGAAAGCATGCTAAATAGAATACTATCTAATCAAATACACCAATATATTGAAAGAATACTACATCATAACCAAATAGGATATATCCCAGAACTGCAAGGATAATTAAATATCAGTAAATCGAATGATCTAATTCACAGTGTTAATGAAGGAAGTGAACATTTTCATCTTGTAGGTACCAAAAAAGTACTTAATGAAATTCAACATCCATTCATGAGTTTAAAATTCTCTAGTTATAAAACATTAAGTGTTGGGGTCCAGCCCCAACAGGTCCAGGGGTTCCCCAAGGTGTGGACGGAGTCGGAGAGGAAGGACTGACACGGAGGTAGTGTTCAGGTGATCATCATGGCGAGGTTCCTCCTAGCCAGGTTCCTCCCTTTATTGTCCTCTTACATTTTATTTATACTATTTGATCTTAACCCTATCCATTCTATTCCAAAGGTCAGGGGTTTCTTATCTCCATTCCAAGGTTACTCTATTGTTCTATTAAGCTACAAGGAAGTAACTGAAGGAGATTATTCTAAGTAAAGATTATGTAGTTTAAGCATGATTGTTCATAGTTAAAGTGATTAACTACCCCTCTGGCACTTAGTTAAAGGGTTTACTGATAAAAAAATCCTCACCTGGGGAAACAACCTTTCTTGGAGAGGTGACCTTGGTTAAAACACATAGCGCTTAAGAAGGGGAGCAGCCCTGACTGGTTTGGCTCAGTGGATAGAGCGTTGGCCTGCAGACTCAAGGGTCCCAGGTTCGATCCCGGTCAAGGGCATGTATCTTGGTTGTGGGCACATCCCCAGTGGGGAGTGTGCAGGAGGCAGCTGATCGATGTTTCTCTCTCATTGATGTTTCTAACTCTCTTGTCCCTCTCCTTTCCTCTCTGTGAAAAAAAATCAATAAAATATATTAAAAAAAAAAAAAAAAAGGGGAGCAAACATATTAGGAACACTATGCCATATATGCCAGGTCCCTTGAAACATAAACTGTGCAGATGTTTCTTCCCTGCAGTGACTTCGTCAAGCAGCAAGGGTGGATCGGCTTCCAGCAATTAAGAAAAACCACACAATGCAATTTACCGATGAGGTATCATAGAACTTTATTAATTGATGTCACCAATAAATTTAATTCAAAAGGAAAAAAGACTTCTATAAGGTACAGGGTTTCATGTAAAAAATAAATAGCGGGCCCTAGCCAGTTTGGTTCAATGAATAGAGCCTGTGGACCAAAGGATCCCGGGTTCAATTCCAGTCAAGGGCACATACCTCGTTGCAGGCTCCTCCCAGGCCAGGGCCCTGGTGGGGGCTCATGCAGGAGACAACCAATTAATGTGCTTCTCTCACATCGATATTTCTCTTTCTTTCCTTTCCTCTTCCACTCTCTCTAAAAATCAATGGAAAAATATCCTCAGGTGAGGACTTAAAAATACATACATACATACATACATACATAGCATTGGCCCTTGTGGTTCAGTGGATTGAGTGCTGACCCATGTACCAAGGGATCACTTATTTGATTCCCTGTCAGGGCACAGGATCCCCAGTGGTGGGCATGCAGGAGGCAGCCAATCAATGTTTCTCTCTCTCTCTCTCGTCCTCTCCTATCTAAAAATCAACAAAAGCATATTTAAGGAAAAATAAATAGCATGTAACACTTTATTTTAATCCTCACCGAACGATATTTTTCCATTGCTTTTAGATAGAGTGGAAGGGAAGTGGAGGGAGTGAGAGGAGAAATAGACACATCAGTTGGTTGCCTCCCACATGCGCCCCTACTGGCTGGGAATCAAGTCTGCAACCGAAACCAAGGTACAGGTTCTTGACCTGGAATGGAACCCACCACCCTATGAAGTCGGGGGAGTTGGGGGAAGAGGGCATGCTCTAACCACTGAGTAACTGACCAAGGGGCAAGTATCATACTTAATAGTAAAACCAAAGAAATATTCTCATCAAAGTTAAAAAGATACATCAGCAAACTATTTCATTAATGCAATCTCAAGTGGTCTCTTAATACCTGTTTGCTAATCCTCTTACAATCTCCCAATTTCTCAGGTTTTCCATTCTCCAAATATGCTATTTCACCTTCCCCTCTAAAACTTCCAGAACACCTCCTCCATCTAGTTAGAATCCTTCAAATGTCCTTGAAGTCTCTACATGATCTGGTCCACCATTACCTTGTGACTTTACCTCTTCCTGCTCCACCCCTTGCCTCTCAATTCCAACCATCTTCCTGTGTCTCAAATAAGCCCGGTATTCTGCTCAATGGTCTTTGCACACAGGCAACTCTCTTACCTTCTTAGCCTCAGCCCAAATATCACCTTCTCGGAAAGATCTCCTCTGATGGCCTTGTTTTCTCTCAAGAAAACGTCTCCAAATAAAACATGTATTGATGATCAGAGCCCATGAGTGTCTCTTGAAATTCTAGTCAGATCCACCCCACCCTAATTATATTATCCCTAGTCCACTTACAATGGAATCCAATCAACTATATAAGCTTCTCTTCCAACTGAACCACCCTCCCTTGTTCTAGTAAACAACTTATTTTCAATCTTATCACAAAACATGGGTATTTTACTTAATTTTTTTTCTTACAAGAAAATATAGGAGAGAAAGGACTGCCATCCCTCAACAAGTCTGAAATATTTTTTCTTTTTATTCTTTTTGAAATCATATTTTTTAAATAAA